ATCTATCAGGTGTTTATTATGGTGTAATGAATATTCTGGTATATACTGAGTTCATTATGAAGCTTGATTGTTATTGAGAGGAAATTCATCAAAGTAATAAAGTTTTGTACCATAGGCTTATGAAAACATGTTCATGACCACTGCAAAACAACTATTCAAAAAACAGCGAACTTTTCAGCCAACAACAACATTAATATCTTACATGCATCTTATATGTTACCGTCAATGATAATAATCTAATATTAAAGTGAAAACTACAGAGCCCATTTGGCTGCCTGGTATGTACTTTTTAAAATGTAATTACATTTTCTTTTGCTTTTTAAAGGGTCCCTATTACGCTAATTGTCAGGTTCATATTTGTATTTTGTGCTTCTACTGTGACATGTTCCCATGCTTTAATGTTCAAAAAGGTGTGATTGGGTAGCTGGCCAGCTCTGTTGTGATTGTTCAACTGCTTAGAGATTTCCTGCCTCTTTTACTACCTAATGTAATTATCTCTTAAAGTCTTTAATTACTCATGCTGGTCATCTGTTGATGTCCCGCATGAAAGCAGATTGGTTGGGCGATGAACCAAACAGGGATTCTTGTTATCCAGGCATGTTCCTTTTTTTCCTCAAACCAGCTCGGAGAAAGTGATTTTCCCATGGAAATGTCAATTTAAAAGTCAATGATGTCATCCATGTCAGTGTACCAAGAAACACCCCTGATTCTAACATGTATGAGGTAATAATTGGACCAGCGGGACTAAACAGTGGAGTATAGCAGCTAAGGATCTGAATCGGCACAGAGGCTATTTCAGCACTATACAAGAGGTCATAAGGTCAATAACAACTGAGCATGTTTTCCACTGACACAGGAGGGGGCAGAAGGAAAACACAAGATGTTTGCTTTCCTTGACTTCCCTTTAAGTGAGTTTTCAAAGGAGTACACATGCAGCCTAAATGAGCATAATGAGAGATGGGAAGAGGTATTTATTTATAAAGGACCACCTACGTAACTCACTTTTGGATATAAGATGGACCTAAACAATTACGAGGCAGAGGAGATAATTAAAGAGTGGTATAATAAGACGCACAAGTACAGGGAACTGCTGTGTGATAGTCATTCTTAAATATTTGTTAGTTCAGGCATTTTCTTTTGTGTACCCTTGACGCAACCACACTCTAACCAGACTTAACTTCTGTTTAAACTTAGAACGTGTGTGTCCTCTAACTCTGCTGGCTGCAGTCCGTCCTGTGTCAACACAATCAGGAACATCTACTTAGCAGAAGTCAGTGGTGAGTAAATACACTCTGTAAGTCTGTATAATTACAGTTGGTTTAATTCTATCTGCTGTGTGTTTAATAAATGACAGTTTATAGTCAGCCAGAGAATAAGGTATCATATAACAGAGACGGTAAACAAACAGGTGAACTGGGATGACATGTGTAAACCAAAAACATTCAGATACAGGTACAGGTGCAGACAAACAAAAAATACAGTTTCATTCTGTTAGCCCTCTGGCTTTGATATTTTACATGCCGTACGTATATCAAGCTATATTTGATAAAATTGATTTATGTTTAATTACTCTAATAAAACAGTAGTTATTGAAGTATAAAGTAAATTGTGCAGTTATTAAACCATCAATGGTACAAACAAGGGGCATAGGAAAGAGATAGACATGTAAGTCTCATAGTATGATGTGTAAACTATGACTAAAGAACCAGTTAGTTCTAGTGGTGGCCCTACAGGCCCGGGGCCCTATTATTATAATTGAACATCCTGCACTGCCGGGAGCATCATAACTGTGTTTTTATTCCTAAATATTATAGACCAGAATTACCGGCTTTCAGTTTACCCTTAGGTGAACACATGTCATCACTTCAATAATTGCATCATATTAGACCTTTGCGTGAAAATGTCATAATCAGCATATGAACTCTAGAGTTATGGACGAAATGTGTTTCGTGAGGTGAACCTTTGACCACCAAAATCGAATCAGTTATCCTTTAGTCTAAGTAGATGTTGTGAAATACATTTACCAGAATGGACAGTGAGACAGACATATGAATGAAAACGTGCAAACATAAACACTAGTAACTTTTATTAACCTATAATTATTAGAAAATCTTTACATTTTCATTACCATTCTCTAGCTATCTTTTCCTTTTAACCACTTATCCCTTATTAATTATTATTCAACCTTTTTCTAAATTAAGTAGGATATATCCACATTCACCAACATGTGTGGTATTGACCCTCTCTGGGATTTGTAGTCCTACCCTGTGACACATTTGTCCTACACGATGAACTTGGGGGGAGGGAGATCCATTAATCCGTCGTAATTACCCCGGCCCATCTGTCTGTCTTTCTGTCTGTTCAACATGTCATCATCTGTTGGTCTGTCACACACAATGTCTTCAACACCCCTGACTGGGCGTAATGAAACTTCAGGGCATGATTGCTTTGTTCTGACTTTTTGGAAAATACACTGATTGGCCAAAGTGGGATGTAAACAATGGATTAATAAACGGTTGCATGATCATAGTTTTATTCCTTAAGTGAAACATTTTGGAGTTCACTTTTTTTGGTGAGATACAGGCAGTTTATTTCATTTTAGTAAATGAATATGAATAAAAATGAAGGGTAAATAAACAAAAAAAATCATAGTTCTTGGACAATGGATGCTCAGATTTGTAGGTACATTTGAGAATAGGGGAAGGATACGCCTCACTGCTCCATTGCGCCTGTTTTATAATTGGTCTAAAAAGCCTAAGGGATCCACAATAACTACAACATGTATTTGGTCATTCACGTACAAACATTAAATAAAATGTTTCTCATCAGATTTGCAGGAAACAGGAGAATAGTTTGTATAATTTCTCGATTTCAGGGTTTTCCAACTGGCCATTTGTCCTGAGGGGGGCCCTGTAGTGTTTGAGCGCCACACTTTATGCCACACAAACCTCCTTGAATAAGAGACTGGCACCTGCTCTTTCCCTGCTGTAAAAACAGCAATTAAGAAGCAGAAGCATTTTTCTTATTACCAAAATCCCCACTAAGGCGCCGCACAACCTGTTAGTTGGTTTATCCTTAGGCCTCAGTGAAGCTACGAAACATGTGTGGCAAATTAAACATATAAAACTCATGATAATAAACCTGTAAAATATTTAGAAGGAAATAAAGAGTACACTGTAAGACTGTATAGGAATAATTTAGGATCCAAACATATTGTTGTGTATTTATACTGTATATTCAGGGTATTCTAAATATTTAGTATACTGCTACATTTTTTAAATATTGTGTCTTACATTGTCCGCATACTTTCACTATTGAGCGGTTCACCACAGCATGGTACACAGTAAGTCTCTTTAGGAACATAGTGGCTTTTGTTAAGGAAGTCACATGAATAAACAATGCACTGCTGATGGGAGACGTGCATTACTTGGGGGTTTTAATGCCAAACAAACACAGGTCTGCAGACCCTGTGGGCCTGTAAGACCACCGTTTATGTCCTGCATTTACATCACCACTTAGACGTGCAGTGGTCAGCTGTATATATATACATACTGTGTATATGGTGCGTGTGCAGGCTGTGTGTGACATACTTAAACCAAATAAGTAATTGCAGAACTCGTTGTAAAGCTGCATGGCTTAGAATATGCAGTATGTGCTGAAGATAGAGCATTACTGATTGCTTTTTCACAGAGACAATGTGACTTTATGATGAAAACATGTGATTATTTTATCCTACAAGGGCGACATCAGATCACTCCCATATAGCTTTCAAATTTGTTTTCAGTTTAGTGCACTTTAGTAGGCTATAGGGTGAACTAGCTCTGCTGCTCTAATGCACTGCCATATTAACAGCCGCCCACATGTCTAAATGGACATGTTTAATTTAGAGGTTTGGTGCACATATTTGCTGTGAGTGCATTTTAGGGTCGCTGGTAAATGACAGATTACTCACATTTGTGTGAGCCTATGTAATCCGATTCCGCTCCAGTTCATCTGTGCAGACCTCATGTCGTCATACTGTAGCAGCCTACTGTAGGAGCGCTTCAGCCTCGCAGGCATGAGGAAACAGCCGCAGAATCATCCAACACGGATGCACTTTGCACGGCTGGGAATAACATGGACAGCTGTTAAATGTCCAAATAATAATTACAGCACGGAACAATAAGTAGCGTGATCACGCGATCCTGGTTTTTGATTTTAATGTTTTATCTCAAATGTTATGATTATCTGCTTTTATGTTAAAAGCTTTGTTTTATATTGTATGCTATACATTATGCTTTTTAAATAAAGTTGAATGTTATTTGTATTAGTTATATACATGTTTATGAATAATAATAATAATAATAATAATAATAATAATAATAATAATAATACTTAATAGTAGGCCTAGTAGTAGTGTTTGTAGTGCTGTCTGTAGTATTAAGCATTTTATTACAGTTTGTACACGTCCAACTCAAAATATTTGCAATAATATTTAAAAAAAGAATCACACTTTCCAGAATAAGAAAATCTTCCACATACAAAAACGAAATGGCTGATACTACTACTCACTAGCTAAACTTCTTTATAAATAGTAGTAGTAGGCTACACTATGCATTTCCTTTTTTTTTTTTAATGTTGTTGATATTTTACTTTTTCAAAACTTCTTTTAGTTTAATTGTAGGTATTTTTATTATTATTTTGTTTGTATATAATTTGCCTTTTGTAAATCATCCTTAACTGCCTCCGTATTAAAATCTGTTAAGGTCGATCTTCCGAAACCTTTTTTCCCTTTATAAAAGGCTACACATTGTAGCTCATTATTCCTATTTGTGTGATGCCATCTCTCTGTAAATAATGATTATGATAATGATAATGATAATTACTATTATCCTATTTGTTTTGGAGTCCAGACTGATGCGTCTGCTCGTTGCCTCCATCGACTCGCTCGACACTCGACTACCTGACTGTACACCAAACTCGCTGCGCTCTGACCACTGCAACTTTTGCAGAGACTCCTCACTCCACAGACATGTCGCACAATAGCTGAAGTAAAGCTGTCACCGTCCGCGGCTCATCCTCCGAGCCTTCACACACACACCGCAGCCGGCTCTCCATTGCACCGCCTGTCCTCTGTCGCTCCCCTCGCGTCGGACCGTACCTTTTGGAAACGCCTGGATATGAATTATGAGCATTTTCCTCACTAATGAACTCGGCCAGTAATGCAGGAGACCGCGGCGACTCTCTCATCACTGTTTCAAGATGGCAGATTTTCATTGAGTTTTGAACAGAAATCTCGCTTTATTTTTCTGCCATGAATAACAGAAATCCTTGCACCGATGGCCCCTGTATACGAAGGTAAGATGCTTTTGAAAATGTGCTGTCCCCCCCCCCCCTGTGCGGAGCTCTGTCACTGAGCCTACTGTATCAATTGTGATACAATTGCGGCTGATACGGAGAGAGAGATGCGACCCTGTCCTCTTCCTGTAAAAACATTACATCTATATTTACATTATGTTATCTAAACCTTCCATAACTAGGCTGTCATGTTGCCTGCAGATCGGTGCATTACTGCTGATAATCTTAGTTAAAGAATACGAGTAAATACTCAGATTGAGCTGCCAGACTGAGCTGTGTCCGTTAAAATAGCGTTGATAAAGCAGAGTAAAACAGCTCCAAAAACAAACATGTTTTTAACATAAAGCAGTGAACATGCTGTAATTGTTGTTTTGTCGATCATGTTTGTTCGTGGTTAAAATTAAAGATCTGCTGAAAGAAAGAATTAAAGGTCGATCAGTGCGAGTCTCGCCTACAGTATGTCATTCTCCTATCTCCGATTATTCCACACCATTATTAACACAGACTGACTTTAGATCGTTCATTGCATCTGTGAATTAAAATGTTTTTTTTATTTTTTTCTTCCGGGAAACATGAGGCAAGCTTAAATAGAAGCGTGTATTCGCTATCGCTGCAGCAGCTGTGACTAATCCAATTGAAAAAATGCTACCCTGCATGCTTCCCTAAATTGTTTGCTGTCATACGGGTTTTGTGTTTCTTCTATTCGAACAATGTGTTTACTTCGTTGCAAGGTTGGTTATACTGTACATGTGAAACATTGCCACTATATTCCGTGCATGATCTTGTGCACAGTGGATAGGATAAATGCTACTTCCCAAATTACACTAATATAATTAACTGTATGATCAAAGACGACTTTTAGTATAATAACATTGCGATGTTACGTTATGTTGCTTTAATTCCGCTGTAGTAATGTTTCATTCAGAAATATACCTCCTGTAACCCGTAGAGATGCTTTTCTGACATACAATAAGACAGATGACCTGTAACAGTATTTATCAAGATGGCTTACATGAGGATCACAAGCTTATGCAAACAAAACAAATGATGACCCCATATATTTCTAATATTTATTTTAGAGCAACCCAATGTTTGATATCTTCTCGTCTACTCTGTAGTCCCTCTGCTGGTGTAAAAGGGGAGCCCTTCTCTTCTATTAAAAACTACTATTGAGAAAAAAGAACTATTGAAAAGTGATACTACACATTTTAGAGTGGTATTACAAATATCACTCACAGAAGTATGCTCTAATATATAGATAGAATGTTGAGGTTATTAAATATGCTGCTATAGAAGATACAGTATTATGAGTTTGATACAGACTCCTCACTGCAGTCATGTCATGTCACTATAGGAACATTGTGGTGATTTTTCATCATGGGTGTTGAAGCCTACAGGCATGGCTCGAGACGACAGGCGTTTCAACATGAAAAGGAAAGTTGAAATGAGACTCCTATGCAAAAAGGTAATTAGTGTAAATTACATTCCCCGGCTTCCCCCCCTCGCCACGCAGAGGAGGAGAAGGGAAGAGAAGGAGGCGGCAGGGGGAATTAATTACCTTGCCTGTCCTCCTCAGTGTTGGAGAGGCCTGTTATGTAGAGCAGTCATGGAAATGACCAAAGTCTCCTATGGAAAATGGGTTCGGGGGGGGCCAGGCACAGAGTAGAATTAGACCGGCTATTATGGTGATTACTCACCCTGGGCTACAGGGCAGCTAATAACTTAAATCTATTTGATGAACTGCTTCCTTTGATGGTAAAAAGTTGAGCTTGTTGAGGAAAAACACTTTACAGTAGACATTTGTTTGCTTAACTTGATTTCACATTAGTAGGAATTATGTGTTTTAACACGGTGGAGACTTTCAGGAATGTTTAGAAGCTGATAGTCACGGTTGTGTCGATGTTCGTGTTTTTTGTTCCATTTTTACGGTGTTTGCCTTTGGTCCTCTCGGCCCAGACAGAAGGCCATCAGGCGGCGGTGTGATCACCCTGGGAGCCCGCTCTCATAACCCAAACTGACACCTTGATGGATGTCGGATGAACGGAGCAGGTCCAGCAGCCCCCAGCTGTGGAAAAGCTAATATTCACACACCGCCAAACCCTGCCTGCCCGCCTGCTCTCTTCCCTGGCTAGATATTGGTTGTGCAGTGTGCTCTTGCCTGCATGTGTGCATTTGTCTCTATCTGCGTCCGCACACATGTGCCATCAACCCATTTGTAGGGCAGGCCTGCGAGAGGATTAGACAGCTGCAGAGCTGGGCACCAGGCAGGGAGGCAACTTCATTTGCCTCTCGCAGGTCAACCGGTATATTCCAGAGAGGACTCATTCATTCATTCACACCTGGAAAAACGGACAGAGTATGACTCAGAGGCTGATGATGATGATGATAGTGTTGACAGACACTGCAGCATCACAGGCAGATTAATGTGTTATCCATCCACACGGCCATTATGAGTTAATGCAACTTTGAATTACCATGATTTACAGGTATGGGGAGTGCACCCTGCCCTTGTTTTAGAGGAAGTTCCTCCTCTGAGGACAGAAGGAAAGGCTTTCCCAGAAACTGCCCTCAACTCTCCGTCTCCCTCCCGCTTCCCTCTCACGCTTGTTTGGACCCGCTTGATTGATATCTTCCTCACAGGCCGCGACCCAGGCTTAGACTCCAAGGTTGCAGCTTTTTAAACTTTGATTAGAATTGCAGGAAGAACCCTGGGGGCCTTTGGGGGGGGCCGCGCCCCGTGGCAGAGTCAGGGGAAGCGAGGAGGGTCTCTCTTCCTGACTGTTATGACAAGCAGGGTTGTGTGTTTAGCTCTTCACTGTCCACAACGGAGAGAGGGAAAGCCTGCGGAGGGAGGATAGTTAAACAGTTTGAAGGATGATAGTTAAATGGCTCACAGGAAAGAGCAGTCATCACTCAGATCCTTGTACCATTGTGAATGTTGTGACCTCTTGTTTCTCACTGTCACTCAGCAGCTGTTTTGATCTGTTTGTTGACCCTATACATCACCTCATGACTTGTTGTTTTGAAGGCGGTTCCTCCGCAGGATTATGAAAATGGATAAGCTGTCTTTACAAGTATCGGTTTTGTATTATTCAAAGCTTCCTATCTGAAAAGGAAAGAGAAATCCAGTGTTCAGGGATTCTTTGTTCTATTGATTTGTTGAAGCATTTAGTAGAAGAAGCAGAGGCTTTGGAGGGAGATAGAATGTGAGTTCTGTGCAAGGTAAGGTGTGTGTGTAGCTCTCAGATGAAGACGAGGGGATATGTGAGCTCTCTGATGTGCTGAAATAGTTCACAGGTGTGATCTGAGGGTTTTGGAAACAGATGAGGGGTGGGAAGGGGGGACGTCAGACTGAACCGAAATGACAGGTTAGTAGAGGCCAGTCTGACACAGGAGGCCCAGCCTTGAATATGAGCAGGATACTTCCTGGCTATTCCAACAGTCCAAACTTTTCATATACTCCTTTCAGCACATTTCTCTGGAGTGAAACTGCCTCCAGTACTCCAGCACATCATTCTTTGAGCTCTTTTTCTCTCCTTTTTTTTTAGCTTGAGGGAAATTCAATTGAGATGCGAGGGGACTTTGCAATTCTCATTTTCTCTTCAGTCAGTAAGCCTCCTGTTTTAGTGCTTCTGCCATATGCTTCAGACCTCTCTCGGAAACGACTCCGAAAGCTGGGCTCCGAGGTCCTTGAAGCGGGAGACCACATCAATTGCTGACATTAGTTGTTTTTTATCGGAGGGTAAGGGGGAGGCTGGCTGAGATGGAGCCTCTACTCTGTCGACTGCTTACACAAGGCATTTCCGTGTTGGTTGTCATGCATGTGTGAAGGCCTTTTTTCCCCCTGCACTGTTGTTTCACACTGTGTTTGGTGTCAGCTTGTGTGGAACAGCTGCCTCTGGCTCTGAGTAGCTGTGTAACGACTCCAGGCTCTGTTAAAGGAGGATCCAGTGTAGCAGGCGTCTTGTTGCTTGCCTGTAATATATAAGATTGTATGAGTTGCAAATATTAAGGCCTGCAACTAACAATAACTTTTACCGCTCAATTATTCTGCAGATTCCTTTCAAGATCAATCAATACATCATTTGTTCAGAAAATGTCAGAAAAATGTGCATCCCGATTTTTTAAAGACCAAGGATGTCCTTAAATGTCTTTGTTCTGTCAAAAAGCTAACAATATTAAGTCAATAGAATATAACGCATAGAAAAGCATGAAGACTTCATATTTGAGGGACTCAATACAGTGTTCTACCATTTTCTCATTAAAAAAGCAAAACAATAATTAAATGATCAGAAACGCTGGTTATTATTCTTTTGACAATCCACTAATTGATAAACCATTCAACAGTTGCAGCTCTACAAGTATCTGATATCTGCATTTATAAAAACCATGATAGTGCCTGGATTCCTGGGATGAACACTGTAAAAACAAGCAACCCCTAATTCTTTGACTGCTGAATGTGTCATTTGTTCCCTAAATGGATTAGTAGCATTTTGGAAACAATTTTACTTCTCTCAGCAGGATGCCACATTAACTTAAAAAATGTTCCACCTTTTTGTATTTTAAGGATCTGCGTGGGAGACAGAAATAAATGAATGTCCCTCTTAAATCTAGATAACCTCCTCTTGCTAAAAGTAGAGTAATAACGGCTCTACAGCGAGGATGAGAGCAGCATCTGTTGAAAAAGCACTGAGAGTCTCTGCACCTTATGACAAATCCAATGGTTTGATCTGCTATGAGAGCCACGGTTCAGACAAAGGTTCACATGTTACTGCTTCTCAACACAGCACAGGATGAATGAGGCCTTTTGTTAACTGGGGCCTGCTAAGCAATAATTGCACAGGGATTCCTTGAGCATAAAGGGCACTTTATATGCTCAAGGCGTCAAATAGTTTTTTTTATATACAGTATATTCAAGTGGATTATAATGCACAGTGCAGAATAAGCATCTGCATTTTAGTCGTATGCCATGTATCGCATGCTCACTTTGCAATCATCAC